CCGAAGCCTGAGCGGCCGGTGTGCCAGCCCACAAGCAAGGTGTGTAGTTCTTGGGCTGCGCTGCCTGATTTATGATCGCCTAGGTACCCAGCTATAGACAGTGAAAAATCTTGTCAGTTTGTTACTGGTAGTGTTTGAGTGCATGCAATCTGCAGTTTGCAATGAAAGCTTCCAGGGCAGCCGAGAATGTTTCTCTGTATTCTAGGATCTGCTGGGGTAATAAAAATTGTAAAATGCATAATAATGCTGTAGAAGGTGGACATGCGCTATGTAAATGAAGTTGTATCATTAAAATCACTATTATATTATGAAATTGGTGGTTAGGCTACTGGATCCGTTATCATGAGATTACAGGTCTGGGGGTTCAAACCTCAGCTTGGTCCGATGTTGTGTCCTTGGAAAAGGCACTTTACACGTATTTCCCATTTGGCTCAGTCCTTTTGGAGATGGACGTTAAAACTTGGAGGTCCCGCCTCTTAAATAACCTAGTAATGGTATTGAATAGGGTGCTAAATCAATACCAATTCCCATTTCACTGCTATGACCGTGTTGCAAGTGACGTCAAAACTAAAACCAAACACATCAGGTGCATTTTGGAGACGCTGCGTCCATAAGTCAGGTATTTGGGTCCAGGTGAGTCTTTCCTACCGTAGTGACTGGCCTTGCACTTAAAAATGACATAATGCGTTGAATGACAGCATCACGCTTTTACTTGTCATCATCTACAGCATGGCGTCCACCTCTTCCTTCAGATCGAGCTTCTTTTTTTCTGAGGAAATACCGACCGACGTGAGTACCGTAACTCGGTCCCCTGAGATAGGCCTACGGTACCTAAGAAAAAAGACATAAAGAAGGTTTAAAAGAACAAAACAATTTAAAGTTACTTTTCATTTGTCCTATTCTCATTTGTTCTGGACTCCAGCAACAATATAGCCTCTACTATAATATATTTAAAAGGCATTCATACAATTTTTAAAAAGCAAGTCATGAAGTGACAAACATCCACACACTGTTTTATAAAAAAAACAGCCTATAGACTACAGAAAATCTTTCTCATGCCCAATGAGGTACAAGATTTGTCAAAGGGACCTTGCTATAGTAAGTTGTACAACCATAATACAGTGGAACTCGGATTTAAGGAGCTCGGATTCAAAGAGAACTCGGATTCAACGAGATGAGATAGATTCCCCGTTTTCTTTTCTTCTTTAATATCAGTAAAAATAACCCGGATTCAACGAGCACTTAAATCAGCGAGCTCGGATTCAACGAGGTCGCTTCCAGGGTGAACAGCCCACGCAGACGTGTCTTCGCTCATTTTTCTCACAGAACGAACTTTTTCTATTCCCGGAAACCATCCATTGCACCTGCATCGTGAACCATTATTCACTTAGCCGATTGCATGCGACCAATCAGCGTCCTTTTTTCATACCAACACATGTGTGTGTGTGTGTGTGTGTGTGT